TAATTCTATGTTACGGGTCTATATTCGTATGAGTTGGTAGTAACAAACTGTCAAAAGGCTATGTATTTGATATTTGATCAGGCGTTTTGCACCCAAAAATCTAACCTACAAAACGCACATACGTCAAATAACAATTTATCATAAGTATAAAGTTGCACATGAAGTTGTTTCTGATAACACATCCATGAAGTTAGGTGTGAAATTCCTGTTCCATGAAGTTGGGTGTCAAAACATATCCTTTTGACAGTTCGTTACCACCAATTCATACGTATCATGAAATACATATTTTATCCTAAAATTGGCTCCTAAAAGCTTTTTATCAGCCACAATTGGGCTTGATTACCAATGTTAGTCATCAAAGTAATTATCGCGCCTATATTTATTTAAATATTTTACAAGCTTGTACAAATTTATGTCATTCATCAATTTCTATACTTTCACAACTGCCATTTGCATGCACGTACATACTTTATTGAATTTATCTCATTTTAGGCTTAAGTTGAAGAAGAATGTTAATATTCAATGGATTTTCATTAAGTTTCTGAATTTTGGTGCCAGAAAATTCTGTTTCAAGTTATTCTAAATCGTTTGACAACGAAATTGGAAATTATATGTGTAAAATTTGTCCTTTGAGGAACCGATTTTGAAACTATAAAGGCCATTTGATGAAGGTGATAGAATTAATAATAAGAGATTAAATATAATAATTTTACGAAAAGTGGTGATTTATAAAAAATTATTATTAATGGCACATCTTTTGAACACCATGTATGTTATAATGCGAATTTAGTGTATAAACTGAAGTTAATATAATTACAGATATTTATTTTATTTTTGAAAGATATCAATTGAAAATCATATTGATTGGTAATAAACTATTGGAAGTTTTATATCCATTCTTATTGATTGTTCATGTAATTTACTTTAAAGCAAAAAATGCCACTTGCACCTTTTTAATTCCCTAGGATAAGAGATAATACTCGAAAGAAAGATTTGCATATTTTTACTTTTCAAAGATTACTGAAAATTTTGGCATATCATATTATTTATTATCTCTTTGTTACCTTAAGAGTAAAATTATTGTCGAAGAATTTTGAACTAAAAATGTTTTTATTCTTAAATAGGTCTGATAGCCTATTCAACACACACACACACACACACACACCACACACAAATATATATATATATATATATATAAGAGTAATTATCTAGTAATTTTCATGAATAATTAATTATAATTGTTGTGAAAATAATGAGCTGTTCTCGGCCATGTTTTCTGTTTGGTGTGTGTGTTTGTGTGCATGTGTGTTGCCCTGGCGACGTACCAGTCAAAACACAAACGAACAGTCTTACTAAAACGTGACAATTTTATATAAATAAATATAAATATAAAAATATACACATGGCAAAATCTTGAAACGACAACTCTTATATTTTCTGGTCGATGAGATGAATTATTAAGATCAAACTTTACAGTAAAGTTGAAAAAAACTTGAACCTTTTATAACAATCTGTATGTTTTTACTCCTCCTCCTCTCGTAAGATTTCCGATTTCTAAGAACATGAAACCCATAATTTTAAAAGGTCTAAAATAAGGTATAACACAGGTATGAAAATATAGATGTCTCGTACATTGTATGGAATTATTGGTTGTCAGATTTAATTTTCTACTCGGGTAGTATTCAGTAAATATTTCACTGGAATTTTATGTAAAAATATTATTAACCAATAGTGCATGGGTATTGTACTTAAGGCAAATTGCTGGGTCTCAAGATAGCTTAATAAAATAAGTTAAATGATTAAATTGATAAGACCAGATCAAGTCAGATCACTCATACAAATTTAGTTTCTTCTTTATATATAAATAGAATTTTGGCACGGCCTCGCATCAGTTTTACATTTGCGCTATATTTAAATTAACTACGGCCTTCAGGCAATATTCGAAATTTAATATTACACAAACACACGCAACAAGACACATATATTAAACACTCTTGTGTATAGATGTTTCTAACTAGTGTTATTAATTAATTTAGTATTTTCTAACATATACCATTAACAAGAAGTCTGATTTTTTCTCAAAATATTAAAACTGATCTCACATCTTGTGTCTTGCTTTCCATTTTCTTCCCGCAACCTATCCTTTGTAGTTTTTAGTGAAAACGAAAATTTTATTTTAGAAATATACAGTTGAAAATTTTATCCAAATACCTAAATCTCAATTATAATTGTTTAAGTAGATTATTTACATATATCAGGAAGCTGATGTAATTTGCATTAAGAAAAAATTCCACTTACAACTTTTTAATTTCCCATAGGGTAGTTATAGTAATGGGCCGAAAATCGAAAATGAAAATTTTTGCAATTTCTCGACGTTTTGAAGGTTTCTGAACATTTTGGCATACCTCAGAAAAAATGGATGCGTGTGTGTGTGTAACTAAAAAAACTATTGAAAAATGTGAAAATGCCGCCAAGCTAAGAACAGTATAAGTGAAAATGTCGCACAGAATTATTTTACAAATGCGTTTAGACTGTGACTATACGGGAACTTTTTCAATTTTATGTAAATAAGGCAACTATTTTTTTTTGAAATTCAATTCGAAATGAAATGACGATTGTTGTTAATGTTCTGGAGATAAATTGATTGATTTATGATTTACATTTGATTTCCTCAGATATAACAAGATAGCAGAAATAATGAAAGTTACAGTATTTGTAATAATATATTTGAAACGTTTAAAGTTTCTCGAATATTTTATTACGGTATGGGGAGTTTCAGCAATTCGCCCTAAGGCACGATGCCATACACCACTAGTTCTCTTATAATTCTTCATACATATAAGAATCAATTATTTAATTATTTAATTATTATTACTATTATTATTTACTACTATGTGATGCTTGAAACGTTTCATTGTAATAAGCCATTCGGTTGGTGTACAATAATAAGTCAGCAGAGCCATTTTGTTGGCGTACTCTTGCTCGTGAAATAACAAGTCTTAAGTAATTAGTTCCCTCTTGCTCGGTCCTCCGCCCTCGGGCCCCCTTTCGCATGACGGTGGTGGCCCCCTTGGCGTGTTGTAGCAGGATAATTAATAATTAAAATTTCATATAACTAAACCGAGAGCTACCCCTTCCTCGCTCGCTTGATCAGAGCCAAATCGTAATAAAATGATAAAGGAATTTCAAAAGGTAGAAAATTAATATATAAAGATGAAATATGTGTGGCAAATGTGAAAAACTGTTATTTAAAAAAAAAAAAAAAGGGTTTCAACGTTTCATGAAACAACTTTTTTTTTAAATATTGCTGCCAATTTGTAAGCAAACTTTTGTGCCAAATATTATAAACAATTAAATCCTTTTTGTTCCAGATGAACCTAATAATTAATTATATTTTCTGTCTTATTATAATGGTGAATTCGCCCTGGTCCATTTGATTATGTCTGTCCCGTTCTGGAAAACGTTTTATACAAAGGCAAGGCGGAGGGCGAAACATCCCCTTGGAGAGCACCCCTTGTTAATTATCTGAATTAAATTTAATTTGGGAAATGCCAAAACATCCTCAATTATACGTATATGCACATAAATATTCATACACACATTTATATATATATATATATATATATATATATATATATACAGATATATTACATATATATATTTATATATATATATATATATATATATATATATAAATATTTTTAGAGCTTCAAACAAAGAATCCAAAAAGTAATAAAAAACAAAAAAGTTTTTTAAAAACATTTCTTTTTTTATTTGATATTTATATAATTAATTCTGTTTTTCTTAACCCTTTTTTAGAAACTTTCTAATTTTCTAACATTTTTTAACATTTTGTTATATAATCCACTCATTTATTTTTTTATTTTCATTTTGATTATATTGTCATATTTCTGTAAACTTACTCTTTTGAAATTTCTTCAATTGTAATTATAAGAATGCCTTTAATTATACTGTCTTTTCTCGTAAGAGTAAAATTTAATAAGAGTAAGAAAGTTAGAATTGATAAGAGTAAGAATAAGATTTTATAACAGTAACAGTGAGATTTCATAAGAGTTAAATTTCATAACAGTTAGAGTAAAATTTGATAAGAGTTAATATTATATTTCACAAGAGGAAGAATAAGATTTCATAAAAGTGTAATTATAAGAATGTCTTTAATTATCCAGTTTATTCTTGAATAAATTTATTTCTATATAATTTCTTCAATTGTGTCTAATGTAAGAATACTTATCCTTTAATTATTCTGTTTATTCTCAATTAAGTAAATCATTATAACTTCTAATATTTTTCTAAGTATGAGATTATCTTTAATTACCCTTTAATTCTCGAATAAAATTGCTTCTCTTAAAATTTCTTCAATTAAAGATAATTTTATACTTGACAAAATTGAAATTATAAAAGTGAAAATTTATTCGAGAAAGACTGAATTATTAAACGATAAGTATTCTTACATTAGACACAATTGAAGAAATTTTATAGAAACAAACTTATTCAAGAATAAACTGCATACTTGAAGACTTTCTTGTAATTACAAGTGAAGAAATTATGACTTTTAACTCTTATAAAATCTTACTCTTATTTTATCAAATCATATTCTTACTCCTATGAAATCTAAATCTTACTCTTACCAAATTTCATTCCAACTTTTATGAAATCTTATTTAAACTTAACTTTTACTCTTATCTGAGAATAACTGAATGTATAATTAAAGACATTTTATCATTTTAAATGAAGAAAATATAAGAGAGTAATTTTATTAGAGAATATACATGATAATTAAATAAATTTTTATATTTAATGAAATTAAAAGGGAGCAATTTTATTACTGAATATACATGTTAATGAAAGATATTCTACCACAATTAGAGTATTAAACATCATTTTATACTTGGCAAAATATAAGAAGTTATAAAAGAGCATAAGCAATCTTACTAGAGAATGGAAAAGATAATAATTAAAGATAATCTTATACTTGGCAAAATATAAGAAGTTATAAGATAGTAAACTTATTTTAGAATACACAGAATAATTAAGGAATAAGTATTCTTACACTAGACACAATTGAAGAAATTATATAGAAACAATCTTATTCAAGAATGAACTGGATAATTGAAGACATTTTTATAATTACTAATGAAGATATTATGAATTTAACCCTTATGAAATCTTACTCTTATTTTTATGAAATCTTATCCTTACTCTTATGAAATCTATCTCTTACTCTTATCAAATCTTACTCTAACTGTTATGAAATGTAACTCTTATGAAATTTTACTGTTCTATTATAAAATTTTATTCTTACTCTAATCCAACTCTCTTACTTTTACCACATATTATCTTTACGAGAATATTAGAATTTTATTAGAGAATATACATAATAATTAAATTTATTATTATATTTGCAGAAATTATAAGAGAGCAATCTTACTAGAGAATAGAGAAGATGATAATTATAGATTTTCTTTAAGAAACAAACTCATTCAAGAATAAAGTGGATAATTAAATATATTCTTATAATTACAAATGAGGAAATTATGAAATTTTACTTTTATGAAATTTTATTCTTACTCTTGTTAAATCTATCTCTTACTCTTATTATATTTTATTATTGCTCTTATCAAATTTTACTCTTATGAATCTTATTTTGTAAACTTCCATTCTTATTATTATGAACTGCTATGAAATTTAACTATTATGAAATCTTCTTTTTATTCTTATGAAATCTAACTCTCTTACTCTTATCAAATTTACTCTTACGAGAATAGGTAGGATAATTAAAGATATTCTTATAATTACAAATGAAGAAATCGTAAGAAAAAATTTTATTTGAGAATAAACATGATAATTAAATAAATTCTTATATTTGATGAAATTTTAAGAGATCAATCTTATTTGAAAATGGCAAGATAACTAAAGCCCAATGTAAACTTTTGAAGATTTATATAAAACTTTATACGAATAAATTTATATGATTTATATAACATCAATAATTATGAATTGGAGGAATGATTTTGGAGTACTTGGCCTAAAGGCAGGTTAACATATAAGTTAAACCTTATTGCCTACACACAAACACACACGCACACACATATATATATATATATATATATATATATATATATATATATACATACATGCATACATCTCCGATAAAGCTTATTGACGCTCGAATGAGTATAACACTTGCTGGAAAATCTCGGAAATTCACACGCCATATTATGGTGCAAAATATGTTCATTATATTATAGTATAAATTGACCTAAACTTTTATAAATATCATGACTATGATACCAGCTTGATAATATGTAATCTAATATTTAATTTTAATTTTATTTTCTGGTTCAAAAGAGCCTGACGCTTGATCGCACAGTAAAACACACAATATTTTTATTTACATGAGAATTGGCCCCTTACTCTTTTAAAATCTTACTCTTACTCTTATCAAATGTGACTATCCGGGAGCACTTTTTCAATTTTGTGTAAATTAGGCAACTATTTTTTTTTGAAATTGCATTCGAAATGAAATGACGATTGTTAATGTCCTGGAGATAAATTGATTTATGATTTAGATTTGATTTGCCCAGATATAACAAGATAGCAGAAATAATGAAAGTTACAGTATTTGTAATAATATATTTGAAATCGTGTAAAATTTCTCGAATATTTCATTACGGTACGGGAAGTTCCAGAAATTTGCTTTAAGGCACGATGCCATACACCACTAGTTCAATTTTACTCTAACTTTTATAAAATTTTACTCTTATTCTTAATCTTATCAAATCTTACTCTTATGAAATTTTATTCTTATCAAATCTTATTCTTAAGAAATGTAATATCTAAAACTTTAATGTTATTGACTTTTATTTTTATATTTTCAGATGTCCTGGTGCATTTCTACATATCCCTAATCCTTATTAGAACCTAATTTAAAATTAAATTAAACTTCAGCATCTAGATTCAAAATAATGAGTTAATGGGGATTTCTTGTTATAACAAGTTTCCATCATCTATTTACAATACAATTCACTCACATAATTCATAATGAAGGTTAAATTGAAACTCCCTCAATTATGACTCAATAAGTCAAAGTGCTCCTTCAATTTTTCAAACAAACTTACCAATAAATTTTCATTTACTTTTTACAATGAATTCAAGTACATCACCCCACCAGCACTCTCCTTTTCCATCCTATGGTGAAATACACCAGCAGCAGATGAGCCCCGGCAGCAATTCTCAACAAATGCTGCCTTCGGGGGGCAACGGAAACGGCCAGCAGCAGCAAATGGTTGGCAATCAGCAGATGGGCGGCGGTGCTGGTGCAAATCAGCAGCAGATGATGTCAGGCGCGGGCGGCGCTGGTTCTAATCAGCAGCATTTGCAGCAGATGTTCCAGTTTCAACAGCACGGGCAACAGTTGGCGGCACAGCAGCAGCAGCAGCAGCAACAGCAAATGACGCAGGGCTATGTTAATGGAACGCCGACGCAAGTTTCAGGTATGGTAGATAGATATATGAAGTATTCTATAAAGAAGAACTTTTGCTAAAAAAAATTGTGTGTTCCAAGCAGCCATGGGAAAGTTGTGTGCAGGATGCGGTTATCGGATAGAAGAACGATTTTTACTTCTGGCATTGGACAGGTATTGGCACCATGCATGTCTCAAATGCACTTATTGCCAAGCCACATTGGCAGATTTGGGGGCTTCCTGTTTTAGCAAAAGAGGCATGATTCTGTGCAAGGGAGACTACCATAGGTGAGTATAATTAGACACTTATACGATTTTAAAGTTTGACCATTTTTTTCGTCATGATTTTGTTCTAAAAGTTAAAAATTGGTAAATACAGATGTATAGAGAATTTTATAGGTTTTTTATTTATATTTGACAAAATTTATGTGTTTTAACAAAATATTGCACATTTGAAATTGCAGTCAAAAAGCGTACAACCATTTTGTTTGCAAAATTGTACGATTTTCAGGTTTGACGAATTTTCATCATGTATTAGTTCCAAAGGTTCAAAATTGGCAAATGCAGTTGTATAGAGAATTTTATAGGCATTTTATTTATATTTAACAAAATTCATGTGTTTTAACAAAATATTGCACATTTGAAATTGGAATCAAAAAGCGTACAAACATTTTGTTTTGCAAAATTGTACGATTTTTAGGTTTGACGATTTTTTTTCATCATGTATTAGTTCCAAAGGTTCAAGATTGGCAAATGCAGTTGGATAGAGAATTTTATAGGCATTTTATTTATATCTACAAAAAATTTATGTGTTTTAACAAAATATTGCACATTTGAAATTGGAATCAAAGCGTACAAACATTTTCTTTGCAAAATTGTACGATTTTAAAATTTGACGATTTTTTCGTCATGTTTTGTTCCAAAAGTTGAAAATCATTAAATGCGGTTATTTAGAGAATTTTATAAGCTTTTCATTTATGTAAAATAAAATGTATGTGCTTAAACAAGTTTTTGCACAATTTAAATTGATGTCGAAAAATGTGCTCGCGAATCAATTCTTATCGATTAAGCTGATTATTTACATCTAGCTCATTTTTTATTTAACATTATATATGTTTGCAACTTTGCATACAGATGCAGAATTTCCTTGACTTTTCGAGTTATTTTTTCCATTATAAATCAGACCTTGTTGGGTTATAATTCTATTTGTAATTCCTTGAGAGACCTTGGCTTCTTGGGATGGTAATATTTATAATAATGTATTCGTACAACACAATCTGAAATAAATCAATACTAAAAATTAATTATAAACAGTTATAATGATTTCTTTTCATTTCCAACCGTTGATATTTACGAAATTACTTACTCTTACGACATTTTACTCTTACTCTTATGAAATAAGAGTATAATATATAACACCAGCTAAGGGCTTTACAATAATTTGAAGAGTTTTGAAAAAAGCAATAATTAATTAAA